GTTGGCGCTGCTCTGACCGGGGGAGGTGCCGCACTGGTTGAAGCTTCTCCTCTGTGCTCGGGCTCAGTCGGTTCTGGATCTGTAGTGCTGAAGGTACATTCCGCGACAAATTCAGCCAAAGCTTGGGCCTTGATTGCTGTCCGAGGTTCGTACTGGATGTCGTACTCGCTGAGTTCAATGGCCCACTTCATCAACCTATCGGAGACCTCGGGCTTGAGTAAGACTTGCCTCAGAGGTCTGTTGGTGAGGACAATGACGGTATGAGCTTGGAAGTACGGTCGAAGCTTCTGAGCTGCGGTGACTAGCGCGTACGCCGGCTTTTTGATCTCATGATACCTTGTCTCTGCATCTTGCAAAACTTTACTAACATAGTAGATGGGTCGTTGGACCCGATCTACTTCTTTTATCAGTACCGAGCTGACTACCTCGTCACTCGCAGAGAGGTACAACTTCAAAATATCTCCCTCATCGGGTCGAGTTAAAACTAGGATACTGGTAAGGTATTTTTGAGCTCGTCGAAGGCAAGCTGACACTCTTCGGTCCATTCAAAGTCTTTGTTTTTTTTAATTGCATTGAAGAAAGGCAACGATATGCCGACTTAGACATGAAGCGGCTCAGAGTGGCTATACGACCATTCAACCTCTGAACCTCCTTCAATTTACGGGGCGGCCTCATATCTAGGATGGCCTTGATTTTGTCAGGGTTGGCTTCGATGCCACGTTGGTTAACAATGTAACCCAGGAATTTACCCAAGGTGACACCGAAAACACATTTGTTAGGGTTTAATTTCATGTTAAATTTACGCAAAACTTCAAAAACACACTGTAAATCTTTTATTAAAACATTCAAAAATTGAGTTTTGACGACCATGTCGTCTACATAACATTTTACTTTTTTGCCGATCAGCGGCTCAAAGAGCCGGTTTACAAGTCTTTGGAATGTTGCCCCGGCATTTTTCAGTCCAAAGGGCATGACCTTGTAACAATGCAGGCCTAGCTCGGTTATGAAGGCCGTTTTCTCTTCATTGGTAGGGTCCATCCTGATCTGGTTGTAGCCCGAGTATGCATCCAGAAAGCTCAGCAACTCGTGCCCTGAGGTCGCGTCCACCAGACGGTCGATCTTGGGAAGTGGGAAGCAGTCCTTCGGGCAAGCTCGATTCAGGTCGATATAGTCGACGCACATGTGCCATTTACTGTTGGCCTTTTTTACCAGAACGGGGTTAGCCACCCATCTCGGGTAATGGACCTCCCTGATGAAATCGGCTGCGAGAAGCTTCCCGACTTCCTTGTTGACTGCTCTCCAATGCTCTAGGGCTAGGTTGCGTTTCTTCTGTCTAACGGGCCTAACTACAGGATCAATGTTCAACTTGTGAGTTATTATTTTAGGGTCTATGCTGGGCATCTCTGCTGCGGACCATGAAAACACATTTAAAGTTTGAAGTAAGAAGCTTACCAGATGAGAACGCAAAGGCTCCTCAATCGATGTGCCGATTTGGAGAGTCCTAGCTGGATCTTCTATCGAAGCGGGTATAAGGACCGTCTCTTCTATCGGTGAAGCTCGCTCCTCAGTGTACTCCGTAGGTCGTTCTAGTTCGAGGTCGTCTACTACCTTAGCTTTCCCTACTCCGAAGTCTGTAGGGAACTTCATGGCCAAATGATAGGTGGACACCACTGTGCGAAGAGCGTGGGTGATTATGGTGTTGTATGGGGAGGGAATTGCGATTAATAGGAAAGTGTGGTCGAACCTCACAATACTAGGCCACGTACCGACCTCTACAGGTACTATAACTCGTCCCAGGGGCCTGACTTCCTCTCTGCTGAAGCCTACTAAGGGAGTGTTCGCGGGCTTGAGTCGACCAGGACACGCTTCACTTCGAAATCATTGATCCTTATTTTTATGACGAGCGCATCATCGTGGGGGTACTGGATTCCGCATGCGTCATCTTCGGTGAAGAATAGGGGCTCTTCTAACCTTTGCTGCTTCGAGGGGTTTTGCTCTTCTCTCTCTAACTCACGAGTTGACGTCTTCAATGCGGATGATGTGCAGCCACGACAATCGATCCGCCGACGACGGATAAGTTCCTCGATCTCGTCGTAGAGATTTTTACAATTCTCGGTGTTGTGACCGTGGTCTCTGTGGAAGTGGCAGTATACATTCCTGTTCCTGGTATTCGGATCCCCTCTCATCCAAGGTGGCCACTTCACATAAGAAGCGTCCTTGATCGCCATAAGGATCTCTGCTCGCTTCGTGTTCAAGGGCATGTAGTTTGTCCTTTCAACTGGAGGAGTTTGGAAAGGCTGATCCGGTTTACTTCCTCCTCTAGCTGGTTCATCCTTCTTCTGCTTATTATCCCCGTTGGTTGAGGCTTCACCTTCTCTCTTCCTCTTCTCTAGTGGATTCTCGCTTTTCTGGTTCATCTCTTCTTCTTTTCCGATGAATTGGTCAGCGAGCTTGAGGAACTCAGTAACATCTTTGGGCTTGTTTGCAACCACATGTCACTTGAACTCTTTGTGGGTGATGCCCCTTTTTGCAGCTGTGAGTCTCATAGCAGGATCCAAGTCGGGGATCTGCAGGCATGCATCGTTAAAACGCTTGATGTAGCTCCGGATTGATTCTCCCTCCCTCTGGACTATGCCGAGGAGGCTTTCCTGGGACCTCAGGCACCTCTTGCTAGTGATGAAGTGCGAGGTGAAGATTTGCACGAACTGTGCCCAACTCTTAATTGTCCCGGGCGCGAGGTTTCTATACCATGTGCGGGCTACTCCTTTAAAGGTTGTGGAGAAAGCAACACACATGCAGGGTTCATCAGCCCCAGCTAGGTGCATCTGTGATTGAAATGAGTCTACGTGGTTGTTCGGGTTAAACGACCCGTCGTACTTGTTCAGAGGAGGTACCTTAAAATCTTTGGGCATTGGGATAGCTAGGAGCTCGGGGGATAGAGGAGACTGCACGGAAAGGAGCGGACTGGTCTTCACTGTTCCCGAGCTCGCCTCTTCTTTGCCTTTGGGCTGTTCGGTTTGACTTTGGATTGCAGCTCGGCGAGCCTTGCGACATTGCTTCTGTTGCTTCTTCACTGGCTTCGCATTAGTGCTATTGGCTTCTGTATTAGCAGGCACGGTTCTGGCTGGGAGCTATTCGGATTGCTGGTGGTGGCTGCTGTGGACTGAGGGGCCTTGTCTAGAGTCTGCAACCAGGATCCCGAACCAATTTTTTGCAAGTGGAACCTCAAACTGCGAAGGCCGAGGTGAAGCGGCTCTGGTGGGCTGGGTATCCTTCGACCTATTCACTTGCTGTGAGGCGGGAAGAGTAACCTGTCTCTCCCTCCTACCGCAGGACGAGACCTGGCTCCCGAGAGGGTTCTGGATTTGGGAGGTCTCTCCCCGGCGAGGAGGGCGTTCGCTCTGACGGCGAGGCTTGGTTTGTTGTGTGGTTGGATGCCGAGGTGGAGCCGGCTGCTGATTCTGAGGCAGCGGGGGGAACTGCTGTTGGTACTGTTGTTGGTAAACATGGTGCAGGACTTGTTGCTGGTACAACTGAAACTGCTGGACCTGTTGCATTTGGGCTTGCATGGCCCGCATGCAGTGTACCAGGTCGTCAATTTGACTCTGTCCGACCGTCAGGGCAATGACAGAAGGTTCGGCGAAGGTCGCACCCACCGTGAGAGGGAGTGGGACATTCACCGGTGCAATGACTTGAGGCATGTTCAGAGTGGAGACCCCGTTCGCGGAGAGAGGTACAGTGAACTGTCCGATGCACACTGTTGGGACCTGAAGTTGCCCCCCGGAGGTGTTCATGTCGGCGTTCTGCCCGACGTTACTGGAAGATGCCATGGAAGTTGAATTTAGGATGCTTGGTGGAAAAAGGCTTTTCGAAGCGATTCCCACAGACGGTGCCAAATGATGCGACGCAATCTGGTTGCTCCTAGCTGGAGATGACTTGGCTTCCAGTAGACGACGGACTTGGCAGATCTGCTCAGAGAGAATCAGAGAACCCGGGGGTGCTTACCCGGCAAGGTCGCTCCGATGCTTAAGTCAGTAACTTGCGAGCTAAAGGTAATTTAGAAAACAAGAGAGCTAGTGAGCAGTGATTACACGTACCTTTGCCCCCAAAGGGTTGGGGTCTTTATATACTGGAGTCCTCGCGGGTTTTTTGGAGCGGTTCTGGGATTCTTGCCGTGATGAGGCCCGTTACCGTATTAACAGGAGATAACGTCGCCAGCCGATAAGGCATATTGTTGCCGTCCGAGTCGGTCGAAGGAGATAAGGCCAGCTATTACGAGGCGTGATCCCGTGAAACGTGGAATCCAGTGACGAGATGTTCGGGGTTATCATGTGGAGGTCGGTCAATATTACCCGAACTAATGCCCCCTGGGTCTGACCTGTCATGAACGCCGAAGTGCCTGGTAATCGAAGTGATCTTGATGCAATCGTGCCTCGAAGTGAACTTGTTCCGAGGTAGGCCTGCCCCGAGGTGATTCAGTTATCCGAGCTCGGTTCGTCGCAGACTTGGGTACGTTGGGATGAGTTATCGTTCTGTTAGTTGGGTCATGTCCACGTGTCCCTCCAAATCACCCTCCATCATTTCTCATTTTCTACCTTCTCGTAAGAGAACTGAAACCTACTCCCTGTTCCTGTTATGTTCATACTATTAAAACTTGGAATGATTATTGATTTGTATAATTATTAATTGGAGGACATTAAACATGATTATTGATTGCAGTCGTGGCGTTGTTCTAGGAATGAAACATGACTAGTCACAGTACTCTGCATTGTTTGATGTTTCTAGACGACTGAAACTACATGCACACACTAGTGTGATTTCATGCTTTTGCGCACTAGTTGACACAAGGAACCAAACACTGGAATTGGAAATGACTGCTAGTTATATATTTCAGTCAATCCACCCATCATTAAGGTTTGAATGCTGCTGCTAATTATTTATTTGCACAAACGTTAGATTAGTCGTCTTCACGCAAGGATAGTTACAGCCAGCACCTGCACTTCACTCTCCTCACTGTCTCTCTGTTTTTGCAATGAAGGGCGGCCTTCATCTTCTGCACCGTGCAAGATATGAGGTTGTTGACGGTCTCAACCGACTCCACGGTGAGCTTAGCCGTCAGCAGATTATTTTTGACTAGTATCTGAAACGCCACCGTCAGTAGCGACCCACCCACCCTCTGCGAGCTTCCGTTGCCGTTGGCGTGGTGATGGTTGCTATTGATGCGAATCTATATTTTTTAATCAAAAGAACTTTTTTAACCAATAATTACACCCCACGTCAGCAGTATAATTATTGATTATAGCTCTGCAGTGTAAATCAGAAATCTGCGTTGCATTGGGCAAATCCGTATTTCGGTCCCATCCTAATGACCTAAAATGTTGAACACGCCAGTATTCCTATTCCGTACACATGGAGCTCAGATGTGAATCATGGGATCCACCCATCCACTGGCTTCTTCGCTCGTAATAGGTAACCCGGTCGGTGTCTAATGATTCTGTCTCCGGCCAATCCGGAGTCACTATAGTCTATAGTCAGTGCAGTAATCTCTGGTTTTCTGCAATATCCAAGCTTCCTTGGATGTGTTCTTGAAGTTACCCGATCAAGAGCTCATTCAGCAGCACTGCAGTATCGGTTTTCTTTCTTTTCGTGGTAAGTTTCGAGTTTAGAATATATATTTATTTCAAAAGGTAGAATCTTCAACGCCAGATTGTTGCAGGTACGAAGTAGTTTTTCCCTTTCCTTCTCTTTTTTAAATTTCTCGAGGATCAGATTGTTGCAGGTACGAAATCGCTCTACGATTTCGCGTCACTTTCTGGTTGGAATCATTTATTCCTTAATTCCTTTGTTTATGAATTTACGCCGACATGTGCAATCATTGAGCTGTAAACCTCTGAAGACTATTAATGAGCTATGTTCTCGAATCTTAATTCTTTTGTTCGTGGAAGTTTGCTTTGTTTTTATGATTCAAAATTACTTGCTCTTTCGGTAATGTTCTTGTTAAGATGTTTTCTGATTCTTGGATGAAATCTATGTTTTTTATTTGTTGTTTTCTTTCTAGTTACTGGGGCATGTGTTTTCTATCATACATGCTTTTAGACATTTGAGTATCACACAAGGATTGCAATTGTACTGAAAATTTTGATAGTTTTTGGTTTAACAAAAATGCTCTTAGTCCTTTGATAAATTAAAGAAACTTTACATGCTTCTATGAGTCTGGGACTGTACACTCAACAAGATCTCTTGAGAACAAATATGGGATCCATAAGAATTTGGGTTTTGGGAGTTATGCCTTTCAGGTATAAGTAACTTTCCCTTTTCTTGAATTACTTATTTAGCTTTTCATTTATCCTTACCAGTGGAAATGATTGGGTCTCGATTCTCCTATATTGGTAGAATACTTGCTCTTCTGCAAGTGCTTCCTGGAATTCTAGCTTGGGGGAAGGAAGGGCACTATGCTATTTGTAAGATAGCAGAGGTAAAATCACAACATATTAAAATTCATACTTTTGGTTGAATTTATTTACATTTAGAATAGTTTCCAGTTTATAGGAACCACATGTAAATATAGATCCTATGGCTTGCAGAATTTAAGAAATACCAAGATTAAAATTTCTAACCTAAGGGAGTGTAGAATTTCTTGCATCTTTAAAACGTAGTTTGATAACTATTGGTATTCATGGGTGTATTGAGATTTAAAAATGGAATTGAGGTGTTTTTGGTGCATCATCCAGATTGCATAGAATCTATAATAGGAGAGTTGGTCTATTTCCACAGATACTTTGACAGTGTAGTTTATAAGAGGGTTTTTGTGGTGGACTCTAAGCTCTTTCACTTAATAATCTTTCTTTTCCGAATCAACATAAAATTTAGAACTTTACCCCAGCCAAAAAAGAAAAGAAAAGAAAAGAAAAGAAAAGAAAAGAAAAGAACATAAGATTTAGAAATGAGAAACACAGGGAGTACTGCCAACCTAGTCTATTGCTCCAAGCCTTATTAATAATAATTGTGTTCTCATTGTACAGGACCCTTTTACTTTTGATATTAATTTATTAGCTATGTTTGGTTCCGTGGGTGTTTATTGAAAAAACGCTACCACATCAGTGCCACATAGGCGTTGGCGTTTATTGTGCATGAAACCACTGTTTGGTTTCAACATTTATCAAATAAACACTAAAAAACATAAACGCATTTGGGGAAGCGTCAAATCCTTGTTTCCCCCAATGCCCCAGTATTTTTTGAAATGAAATGCTTACGTGGCATACTTTATGGGGTGTTAAGCTGAGGTGGAAAGTAAGAAACGTTTAAAGTTATGCCCAACCAAACAACAAAAGCAAGAAACGCTTAAAGTAAAAAATGTTTAAAGTATAGTTTTTCAAATAAATGTTTAAAACAATAAACACCACATCTATAAACGCCCACGGAACCAAACACCTACGTTATGACTTTACCTCTTTAAGAAAAAATATTAATAATTGTATTCTCGTCATATGAGAATAGCATACTTTCTACTTCTTATTGCTTGATTGAAATAGTACTTTTTTCAGGGATTTCTTAATGAAGATGCTGCTACCACAGTTAAAGCCTTGCTTCCAGATTATGCAAAAGGCGATCTTGCTGCTGTTTGTTCCTGGGCCGATGAAATTCGTCATAACTTCCACTGGCGCTGGAGTGGGCCTTTACACTATGTAGACACACCGGATTTCAGGTGTAACTATGAATATTGCAGTAAGTTTGTAAATCTTGTCTTGCCTCACACCAATTGCACAATATTAGTCAAGTGTATGTTGTAACTGGTGGGATGTTATACTAGTTACCTTTGATTTTTGGGAATTTGTGGTGCTTATGTTGAATGATATATATGGTTCAGCAAAATTGCTTAGTTTCTTTGTTTGATTGATGCATGGTTAAGAGATATGCATCTGGAAATGACTTTGACCTTCATGTAGGGGACTGCCATGATTTGAGTGGTAATAAAGACAGGTGTGTCACTGGAGCAATTTTCAACTATTCCATGCAGCTAATGACTTACCATGAGTCTAAATCTACTTCAGAGTGGAAATGTAATAACCAAACATTATTCTCCTATTTTTTCAAACTTTCAGTGGTTTTCATCTCATTTATGTGATAAATTTATGGTTTTACTGATTTGTATTAATCATAATGCCTGCTACCCTGAATGCAGACAATTTGACTGAAGCACTTATGTTCTTATCACATTTTATTGGGGATGTCCATCAGGTTTGCTTTTTCCTACCAGACTTAGAAAACATGGTTTCTTAAAGCCGCACATGTCATGCACACACTTGTTATTTTTATTTACCATAATTGTAAAGGAAAGTTAGATGTTTCTGTTTGTGTTAATGCAAAAGTTGTGCTGTTGACTGAAAACACTATATATGAAGCCTGATGTTGCACTGCATGACTTGTGTCAATCTGCTATAGAAAATGTCTACAAGAGATATACATGGATGGCTAAAAACAAAGTGGTTAACATAACCATAAATGGACCCTGTATCTTGTTATGACATTTTGTTGTGTTATGACAGCCTCTACATGTTGGTTTTACTGGGGATGCTGGTGGGAACACAATAATAGTACGTTGGTACCGGAGAAAGACCAATTTACATCATGTAGGTGACAATAGCACTTGAATAAGAAAGTATCATTTTTGTGATATTTATTTTCTTCTTATTCTAGGAAAGACAAGATCATGAGAATTATGCAGATTATTAAGTGGTAGAATTATAAAGGATGCTGATAATCTGTGATTGGGTTTGTTTTTATCTCTGTCAAGAAATGAAGAGGAAATTGGTTCATTTTCCATTATTATAATGACCTAAGTGGCAATGGTAGATTTTTCTTGTCAATTCTAGGTATGGGATGATATGATCATTGACTCTGCCTTGAAGACATTTTATAATTCAGATCGTGCAATCATGATACAAGCTCTTCAGAGGAATATTACGGTATGACTTTCCTTTTTCCTCTTATTTCTTTATACACACACAAACCTTATTTTTTAAGAAAAAGATGTTCTCAAGTGGATAGTTTCAAAATGGCCCCAAAAGCATATATTTAAACCCTGCTTGACTTTCTAAAAAAGGGAAGAAAGAAACAGCTTTATCATATTTCTGGTTCTCTTACAAGATGGATGTCAATACATTAAAGATCTCTGTTTCAGTTTAGGGCCAATATTTCTTTCACTTTTTCTTTTTTCTCTTTTTTTTTTTTCCATTTTAAACTTTGTTTTGACTTGGCACTGCCTCCCAGATAACTTGCACCTTACCTATATTGACAGTCAAAATACTGTTGTATGAAATTTTTATTTCTCTAACTCTTCTTTCTTATTTTCCCTCTTTTACGTGCGTTTAAGACATACTCAAATGCTTCTTTAAACACTCCAGATTACTTAAAAGTATTTCATAATAACTTTTCTTATTTAATTGAAGATTGATTGGATATGGGTAAATTTGTAGGCATAAGACATTAAGAATTCATAGGTCTATGAGGGATCCTTGAAAGCATGATTTGGCGGTATATGAGCATGATAGGAAAGGAAATCTTCAAGGTGCTGAAAAGAGGAGTTGCCATAAAAGACCCATCATCTAATGCCTCACATAAGGAAGTATCAAATGTCCATCATCAGAAGATTGTCTCAAGGAAAATATTTCATGTAAGAAACAAAAATAAAGATGAAATAGAACCGCTTAGCCATAGAGAAGCCAATTATATCAGAAGGAGATTTTCCAATGGGTAACAGAAAATACCAATGAAATAGTTCAGAACACTTTTTTTCCAGTAGACTCTGGTTATGATTGTCTTTCAAGATCATCCAAATAGAAGTTAAAATTATTGGTGAAGGGTCAAATCCCATAAAATTGTAGATAATGGAAGGGAGACTCCTGGTAACAAAATAATCTACAAGAATTTTTAAGAGTAAATCCATATAATCCTGTTCAAGAAGTTTTTATTTTTTTATTTTTTTATAATTTCCATTGGAATATCAGCTGGTCAAACCATTAAAACAATGCATTACTTCTGATACTTTTAACCGTGTTGTCTGCATGCACGATTTTACCTTGTTTACAATAAATTCTTATTTGGTGCATACAAACTTGATTAATTGCTGAAAAATAAACTATGATCTCATTTTCTTTGATTTATTTATTGGTGCATGTCTTCATTCTCAATTTTTTTTTTACTATATTGTGAATAGGATGGTTGGTCATCAGACATCGCATCCTGGGGAAATTGCTCATCAGAGTATTTAGTCTGTCCAGACCTGTAAGCATGTTCTTTCCTTTCTGGTGCAGTGTTTGTAGCATAGATAGACCCTAATATGCCTGCTACACTTGTGCATACAATAGAAAAAGTAAGCTGCATTTGGATGTATGATCCTGGAGCTTCTTTTTTTTTTTTTTTGATCAATAACAAATTCATTGATTAATCATAAGAATAATAACAAAGAGGAAGACAAACTTTCTTATCTTCAATTACAGCTTGAGCCCCCAAGAAAGGAAAAGAAAAAAGAGAAAAGATGTATGATCCTGGAGCTTCTTGACGCTTGATATTGTAATTAGTAGATATTTATACCTAAAACAAGGTAAGTTTATGGACTTAAAAATCACAAAAAGCGTATTTAAGTATCATTACTATACTTTCTGCAGTTCTATCCGCAATTTGTCCACAGAGGATAAAGTAGAGAACAGAAAGAAAATGATAGACAACTGAAAAGAATCTACATAGGAAATTGGAAAAAATAAAAATCATCAAGCCATATTTAACCATGGAAGTTCATTGATGCTTGGTGACAAAAGCCATGGAAAATTCTTGGTTCTCTTGCATGGTTCTCGATAGTCATAAATGCTGGAGCAAATGTGTAAAGCTCAAGTGCACCCTACTTTCTTGATCACTGAAGCATGTTTTCACCATTTCTTAGCAATGGGCACAGATGCTAATGCAAATCATAGAAGAAAATAGAAAGGAATTGATTCCATTTGTCTCTTATAAGGAATGATGGTATCCAGATATGATAAGTGACTCTGCTTTTGCAGATATGCTTCTGAAAGCATTAACTTGGCATGCAAATTTGCATACAGGAATGCAACACCAGGAAGCACTCTTTCAGGTAATCTGAAGCATGAATAAATTTTCTACTTCTTGTTTCTTTTAAGAGTGATGTTGCAAATTGCCTGATCTACAATAGGAAAAAGATCCTTTTACCTTGAGCCATAAGCTGTGGATTAGTACATAAAAAGAGACCAGGACCACTATTTAATTGATCCTTCCTAGGAGAGTGAATGTACAAAAAAAGCAGCATGGTTTGATTACTTTTTACCATATGATATGCAGTGTAGTTTTCGAATTGCAGTAGAGTGTTTTTTAACTGTTCAAATGACAAATGATCAAGTTTACTCGGCTATTATGTGGATGTATTTTGGTCTGGAACTCTAATAATCTCTCAGTGGGTCCTGATCATTTGACATGTTTATGAATTTACAGTTCAAGGTTCAAGTTAAAGGTCTCCTTTTTAAGCTTGAGCTTTTTGCAAAATCTATTTCTTTAGGCTGTCCTTGTTTTCATTTTAAGGAGTAGAAGACAAGGTTTTGGGCATAAAAAGATGCAGGAATATAACTGAGATTAGTTTTTTGATAGATGAAAAATTAATTCATTAATCAAATGATGTAACAGTACACACCGCCCAACATAAAGAGGCACGAGGTGCAGCCTACAGAAAATTACAACCACAATGATCAACAATCAAAGACAGTAGTACAAGTAGCCCGACATACAGACTAACAGAGAAAAGGAAGGGGCAATATAGTATATTACAAAGCAGCCCATAACAGATGTTCTCTATTGACTCCTTGCTTGGCTAGAGAGTCGGCCAAAGTATTTGCTGACCTTCGTACCCACTGGACTTTGACAGTCATATTTCTTGTTAGCCAAAACACTCTCTTGAGGAGGTCCCTGAAACACCAAATTGCTGATTCTTGGTCCCTTAGCCACCCCACAACTATTTGAGAGTCACCTTCGATTTGTAGTCTCTCTATTCCAAGTTGATTTGTGAGCTGAATTCCTTGCAGTGCAGCTAGTAATTCTGCTCTAGTGGAATCTCCTAAACCCACTGGTCTTGAGAACAGAGCTAAGAGACTGCTGTCCTTATCTCTCAGCACCCCTCCTATACCTGAAGGACCAGGGTAACCTAGGCTGCTTCCATCAAAGTTCAATTTACAAAGCCTTTAGGAGGGCAAACCCAATCTGCAATTACCCCTTCCTTGCATGAAGAACTCAAAGCCACTGCAGCCCAATTTCTCCAAAAGTCAACAAAGCAGAATGGAAGAAACAAAGTTGAAGTTTTCAGCCAATATCTTGCCCTTGTCAGTATGCAGTCCTTGACTTCAGATAGGTTTCTTTCCTTCTCTTGAAAGATTTTGTTGTTCCTTTCCTCCTAAAGAGTCCAAAGTGAAGTTGCTCTGATACACTTCCGCATCAAATTCCCTCTTTTGGTAGGCCAAGCAAGGGCTGAAGAATCAAACAAAAGAGCTACTTTTATAGGCAAACTCCACCTGCACTAACAAAGAGCAAAAATCCAAGACTAAATAGCTGTAGCAAAAGGGCAGGATAAAAATAAGTGAGAACAATCCTCTCCATTTGATTTGCAAAGAAAACACCAGAAAGGGGAAAGGCATAAGTGAGGCCTTTTCTTCTGTACAAGGTCCAAAGTGTTAACTTTCTCATGAAAAACTTCTCAGTAAAACACTGAAACCTTAGGGGGGATAGGCCTTCCTTAACTGGGAAACCCAGATGAGCAGAGGAAAGACAAAGTGAATTAAAGAAGGATGCGACAGAGAAGGAACCTTTTGGGGAAGCAGACCAAATTCTTTTGTTTGGTGACAAAGGGTTTAGGTAGACGTTACCAAGGATAGAAAGGGGATCTGCAACACAACAACACTGGTTAATTCAAAATCCCTTAAACCTCTACAGAAACCAAAATCCTAATTAGGAGATAAAGGGGTTAAAGGAGAGGAGATACAATTGGCAACCTGTTCTTTTTGTGCAAGGAGATTTAATAAAGAGCATGAATAAGTCTTTAGGAGCTGAATTGCCCACCCAAACATCTTCCCAAAATTTTACTAGATTCCTAGAGCAAACATCATACTTGATAAATTGTTGGAATTGGGGTAGAAGGCTAGGGATTGTCTTCCATGGTGAAGCCAAAGTAGCCTGTTGTGATAAACCAGCATCCCAACCATTTTCCAAACAGCCATGAATACTACCATTTACTTCTTGCCACAACCTCTCTCTCTAAAGGCCATTTCCACATCCATTTTCCCAAAAGAACCATATTCTTCTTTGTTAAGTTCCCTAAGCTCAGTCCTACCTGTTCTTTTGTCCTACATACAACCTCCCAATTGACTAGGTGGTCCTTTTCAGCCTCCCTAAGTTCCATAGGAAATTTCTCATTAGCTTCTCTAACCTTTTAGATTCCCTAGAGGGGATTCTAAAGACAGAAAGGAAGTAAACTGGTAGGTTAGCTAGTGTGGCCTTTACCAAGGTAACTCTATCCCTCAAGGAGATGTAGTTCTTTTTCCCACGCCACCAATCTCTTTTCATTTCTAGGACCGGATTCTAAAATCGACTTTCCTTGCGGTTTACCCCTAGGAGAAGGCCTAAGTAGGACAAGGGCCAAGAAAAGGTAGGGCAGTCTAAGCATTCAACAATGTCCCTCAAAGCCCAAATGTTGAGTGAAAATTTCTGCCTATTTTACAATGAAGTAGAGTGTTGAGTGGAAAAGGTTTACCAAAGAAAGAAGAGCCTTAAAATGAGAAGGTGTCCTACTTGTAATACGTAGAGATTGAATTGAAAATATGGGGTAAGGACCAGATGATGATGATCCAAAAGAAGCCTTCTTACTGGTATGGAACCTTTAAATGTCCTTTTTGATAAGTGAGTCTTCAAAACCTAACAAGGACACTGGTTTAGTTGTCATGTCATGTCTTCGAGACTAAAGACATTAAATTCTGGGGTTTGAAAAATCAAATACAATTGAGGAATTTTCAAATTCAGAAATTTATAAGGCTCCATTTGTTTGCAGTGCAATTTCATTTAAACTAGTACAAATGCATGGGAGTGCAGATGAGATTGAGAAAAGTGCAAATTATGATTCAACTTTGCTTTGGTCTTTACTTTGCCTCAGGTTTTATTTTACTTCATCTGCATAATAAAGTAATAAAACAAACAAAATAAGGTAAAAGATGGAACTAAAATAAAAGAATTGCACTAAACTTTGCACCATTGCAAATGAAGTTGCACGGCAAACAAACCAAGCCTAAAGAAAAAAATGGTGGATCAAGAATGTGTGAAAGAAGAGAAGAAACTTGTGGAGAATGTAAAATTCATTTTCGTTAGTGTAACCTTCTTGGGGCTGTACGCTGAGGGAATGGTACAAATAATATTTTATTGTAACCAAAACACATCTATTACTGTTGACGTTAAAATTGGCCACGAGGGCAAAGATGGAAAGTTGCTAAAGTTGGGTGTCACCTCGTCTCGGCTGCACCTCATCTTGGAGTATCACCTCGGCTCGACACCTCAGCACCTTGGCTGCTAAGGGAGGAGACCTGCAACCAGAAGAGACGTCAAAGGCCCGGGTGTTATCTCAGGGGCGTGAACTCTGACGATCAAGTCAGTAACACCAAGGGAAGAGAAGGAGAGCTGGAGAGCTCCGTGTGCCAAGGTGTCTGGCGTGTCTTGTGTAATGCAGTGTTGTGTTGTGTCCAAATGAATGTGGAGCTCACCCATTTATAAGAGAGGGGCTTCATCTAAGAACCAACATGTTTCTCACACGTGGTCGGAGCTTGGTCCACATGTCATGCCCTTAGTTGACACATTGTATGCATGTGGTATACGCTTGCATTGATGTTCTAATAAGCTCGACCATGTATTGCTTGTGCATGTTATGAATTGGTGTTAGATCAACTCTTCAAGATTAGGTTAATTCATCAAGACAGGTCAACTAGTTAGGACCAAGTCAGCTCGTAATTCATCAATTGGCAACTTTGCCCCTAACATGCTGCCACTTGGCTGTTTTTGACCGGTGGTCGATTTTGGCCGTATCAATTACTATATAATGCCAATCCTTGCCATGTTTTCTGTGCAGCCATAAAAATTCAATCACAACATTTTACAAGTATATTATCATATACAGTTAATGCTTACAAATGGAAGTTGTCCTAGTATTTTAATCTTTAAATTCTATCAATGAGTCAAGACATTTAAAGAAATTCAGTAAAAAGGTTCAAAATCTAAATGTCTTCTAATCTTTTTAGTTTTTACCCTTTTATCTTTAGTTGCACATGTGCATAGCAGTGCTATTACACTAGTCATGGTTAAAAGCAAATTAGGAGAAATTTCTCATGTTACTTCTTATAAGAATAAATTCCACGTACTAGAATAAGATTACCTGATTTGAGCATCATTCAACTAAGTCATTTGCTAGCATTTGTGTTGTAAGAAATCTATTGAGTGGCAAGATACGAATAATCAAATGATTCTTACCTGCTAGGGATACTAATAATCCTTGGAATATATGGCCCTTTTTGGTAGTATTTTTCATACTTTCGAAAGTACTGAAGTATGAAAAGTAATAAACACATTTATTTGACTTTTTTTTTTTAACTTTTAAAAGATGCAAGTAAAAGTGCAAAAACCATGAAAAGCACGAAGTCAATCGTTGATATTTCATACTTTTTAGCTCTCTGACATATTTTATACTTTCTAAAATGTATGCATCAACCATACATGTGATACTTATACATCCACTACACGGTAGTATATATGAATGCCATGGGAAAGTATAAACACATTAATGTATTCAATCATGTGTGTGCCACGTGGTATTATATATAGATGCCACATGACATATTGTATCATTGACTTACCTTTAGATGTCACATGACAACTTTATATGTTGCCATGTGTCATTCACATGTCATTGACCTGGCATTAAGATGCTACATGGCATCTATGTCATTGACCTAACATTCAGATGCCACGTAATATCCATATATGGTGCCACATGGCATATTTGGATGACACATAACATCTAAACATAATTAATGACACATGGCATGCACATATATAAAATATTTTGTTTTATCCAAATGCTATAATTTTTTTTTACTTTAAAAAATATGTTTTGAAAAGTTTTCATCAAAACGGTTTTCAAAGAAAAATAATCCATGTGCTTTGCATTTTGATACTCTTAAAAGTATAAAATATAAAATACTACCAAACATGACCTACATTGCTTTCTTGGATCTATTTACAATTTATTTTCTTTTTTCATTTTCTCTTTTTCCTTGGGGGGAGGGGGGTTTCAACGAGAATAAAAGAACACAGATGAAGAACCTTTGAAGTGTCTTCACCAATCAGCACTGTTTTCGACACAAATTGTAAATTTGTAATTATAGATGATCTTTCGATAATTAAACATTTACATCTTGGCTTGCAGTTTTACCTGTGAGTGCATATGTTGAGTTCAGATTCTTTACAGCAAGGTCCATAAGGGCATCCTTAAGGGCCAATAAGGACTGGAGAAAGCACAGACAGGGTTCTTCTGTGTTTCTTGCCCTCTGGTTGGATGGGACATAGTCCATAGGAAGTATAATACTCCCTTTCAATGATGATGCTCTCAAAGGGCAATTCTCAATTCTCAACTAATACATATTTTAAAAAGAAAAGAAACTTTCAACTGCTACGGATCCCCAATTCATAATTTCAAATAATCAAAAGAAAAAAAAAAGCAGCATATGTAAGTGACATTTAAAGATCTAATTTATAGTTTCCCCAAGCTCTTAAGGAGTGTTTAGTTTGATTGGTAGAAAATAGGAAAGAAGCAGAAAGTTGGGGGAAAATTCTTATGGCTCAGTTTGAAAGGAGTTCAAATGCAAATATGTAGTGTGTAAAATCTTATATTTTGTATTATTTTGTATGTATTTACTTTGTATATATTTGCATTTGTATTCTTTCCAAAATGAGCCTATAGAATTTTTCTATTTTTCTTATTTTTTATCAAATCAAACATAGCTTAATAGAATCTTTGAGTTGGATATGAGCTGTGAGACACATGGAAGTTGAGGACACCTCAATGACCTCATAGCTGTTATGATGAATCCCTCTTTCTTTCAGCAGCATTGCTTATTTTAATTGAAGCTTATTTCCCCCCTCTGAAAATTCTTAATCTCACTTCTTCCTTGTGTTGTTCTGTTGCTTGCAGACGATTACTTCCTCTCAAGGTTGCCTGTCGTGGAGAAGAGGTTAGCTCAAAGTGGGGTCCGCCTAGCTGCCACCCTCAACCGTCTCTTTGCTTCCAAACCTCTACCCTCACATTTCACAACAGGGGATGGGAGTAACGCCAGTAGAGGATGGCTTCGGATCAAGGGGTCGGTCCAAGGACCTACGTTGATTTGACGTCTCTACACGCCAACCTTGTCATTTGTGAGCTAATGACGCTCTTTCATTAGTCATTACTTGTCCATTTCGAGACACTATGTATATTATAGTTGATTTCGTTTTTTTTTTTTTTTATTGCTTTGCAAGTATTGAGGCTGTTTTCTTTATTTTGAGCATGTATAATATTCTCTCTGTACATTAAGTTTTTTTAACTGTGTTGAAGTGAAGGTGCGTCTTATGTTCGTTATTCTAAGTATATACCTTTATCCTCCTATTCTCTTCTTGATGACAACGAAGACCATCTCCCTTGAGTTAAAAGCCTAAAACCGTGTAGTTGGAATTTTTAATCTCTAGAGTGAGGCAAGGTTCAAAATATCGATGCATGGTGATATGCCGGTAGGGGGCCTGTATTGATACTGTTTTTTTTTTATTATTTTTTATATTTTTTGCCGAGCTGAAATACCCCCTGTAAGGGTTTATTAGGAAGACCCCCATACAATATATATCGGCGAATATGGGTTATTGAAATTTTGAACCTTATGATATTCCAATATAGTGGTGCTACTGCTTATGCATGGCTTATATCCTTAATATGAACTATATGAACTAGGATGCATTCCATCCGTCTCCCAAGTGTAAAGTACTAATCCAAGGGCCAGCTTTAGCTGTTCTCTCAGCCTTAGGGAGAACGCCATCATGACCCCTTTCTCCACCTCCAATGATGGAGGGTTTGGAAGTTAGAATCTCTTACTTTTGGAGCAATCCAAAGTCAACATGTGGGAAACACGATCCTTGTACTCAATAAGAACTTGTTCTATACGTATATATATATATATATATATAAGCAAGCATAATACCTAATTTGATGGTTTCATTGCTTGTCGAAGCGGAGAGTCACTTGGGAGAATGGGTCGGTTTGCAGTTCTGCTGGGGTTGCCTCAACTTGCATTTGTTATATTGGTGGCTTCTGTCTCCCTGCCGGTGCCCGGAGCTCAGGCATGGAGCAAAGAAGGGCATATCATGACATGCCGGATTGCCCAGGTAAATCAATTCCTTTATCCAAGTTCTATCTTAGGGTAGTTCCATGGAACTATTTTTCATTCAAATGAAAATTAAGGACCCATAAACGACCTGCCAGTACTGCATATTTGGAGGGTCAGAACCCATTAATGAATGGATCCCACTAGTGTAGTAGAGATTTGAGATCAAATCCTGCCTTGGCTGGAGTTTGGAGATGGGTATAATCCTCCTCGCATAATCCTCTTCATACCCACTTCACAGCACGTTGTAATAGCAGTATAGCACATCGGAAACATCTCTCATTCTCATAGTATGTTTGAGAAGGAAGTGCTGTGAGGTGGGTCTGAGAGGGAAACCCGGATTACACACATACACTTTGTGTTCAGATCCTCTAACTATGGGAAATGTGGGAGGTTTTGTTAATATGGCCTCAGTTGTTGAAAAACAAAAAGACCTACTAGCATATGGCTGGGCCAAAAATCAGCATCATCATATGACTTTTAAGCATCTCATAAGCACACGCTTTTTGGAGCTTTCCAAGTACTAATTATTAGAAAACCTGTCTGGAAAGCAGCTTAAGTACGAGTAACTAACTAAGAAATGTTAATGCCAATAGTCTCTTCTAGATCCCGAAGCAGCACACGCTGTTCAGAATTTGCTACCTGAATATGCCAAGGGTGACTTGTCATCCCTTTGTACGTGGCCCGATCAAATCCGCCACTGGTACAGATATCGCTGGACAAGTTCTCTTCACTTCATTGACACCCCGGACAAGGCTTGTACCTTCGATTATTCAAGTACCTGACTGGAACCCAAGTTTTTATTCTTTCTGTGTTTCGTTATTGTTTGATTTTGTTGTTTATATACAGTGAAGTGATAATGTGAAACTGTACACGAACAGGGGATTGCCACGACCCACAAGGAGTAAAGGGCATGTGCGTTGCTGGTGCTGTTCAGAACTTCACCACTCAGCTCATGCATTATCAGCATGGAACCTCTGATCGTCGATGTAACAAAGCCTCACCTCTTTATGCTTGGGGCCCGTTTTGTTCATGGGAATGAGGAATCGGAATCCGAATGTCCACTCTCTCTCCCCATTTCTTGGGAATGAAATACCAGTTCAATTGATTCTAATTTTCATTTCAATTCTTGTTTGAATTAAACAGACTGGAAATAAACTATTCTGATTCCAATTCTGAAGGATTTTGATTCCGATTCCCATTATAAATCAAATGGACCCTTAATTTATGTTCTCTTCAAAATTCAAATTAATATATCTCTTCTCCACATACTTCTACTGAAAATCTTGTCATTGATGCTGGATGGCTCTCTACTTGTTTCCTTGTTTGTTCATCTCTTGTAGATAATATGACTGAGGCCCTGCTGTTCTTATCACACTTCATGGGAGACATCCACCAGGTAATCTATATGGTATTCATCTTTCAATATTAACTATCCCTCATTTTCTCTTGGCACTCTGGTTTGTAATGCTTTCCTTGTTTTCTTTTTCAGCCCATGCATGTAGGATTCACAAGCGATGAAGGTGGGAACACTATAGATTTAATCTGGTTCAAGCACAAATCTAATTTGCACCATGTAAGTACCAGTAACCAGGATTTCTTATTGGGTAAATTACAAATAGGCAATGTTTTAAAAATCGACCTGGAACCGGAACAGCTTTGCCCACCAGTTTCTGGGTCAGTGGTCCAACCCATTCTGATTTAAAAAAAAAATAAATAAAAAATGCTCAAAAATCGTTTTTTGGGTTGATGGTTTAATCACCTGAGTCAGCAAGTCACTGACCAAATCAATGGTTTTTAGCCAATGAACAGTTTTAAGGTGAAACAAAACTGGTTGCCGGAATGGTTTCGGACTGAATGGTTCGACCGTCCGGGTCAATGACAATTCGAAAACCACCATGCAAATAGGTACCCTGTACTTTGAGGGCAGTGATATTGAGGGTCTACAATTTCAATTCCAACAGTTAAGTATCCTTAACTTTTATAAATTTAGGCTCAATTTGGAGAAAGTATTTGTATTCTTTTCAATCTAACCTTTTAGTCCAATTCTATTAAAATTATAATAAAATTATAAAAATGCTTAGATTCTCTTTTTCATCTTCTTATATTTTCTGACGCAAATAGTAGCGGCAAAAAATTATGGTGGGCAGTGTATTTGTAGGAGTACAAAAACCACAAACGTAAGAATTGTTCAGTATTCATCCATCCTCGTCATCTGGAAATGTTCTAACTGTTTCAAAATGTTTTTATTTAGGCTTAGTTTGGAAGGAGTATAAATACAGATATATATAGTACAAATAGATACAAAATACCAGGTTTTGCACTTTACATTTGTACTCCTTTCAAACTGAGCCTTAGGTGCAGACTTTAACTGCATTGCTATTCTGTGAATCGGTGTTTCTTTTGTGCCACACTATTGAATTGCATCAAAATAACACAAGAAAAACAGTAAAAAAGCATAATGTAAAATATTGGCATTTTAGTAATTTTCAATCTCATTATAAGATAGTTTAATAGAGTTCGACTTAAGTGTATATATTGAAAGTTAAGGGCGTACTTGAAAGTTCATACTCATAGTGCCACTACCCCAAAAATACAGAGTACCTCTGCAATCTACCTTTTCTTATTTGCTTGGTAGCTCCAAGGTGGGTCATCTTACAGAACTCACAGTTACCACAGCAAGAGAAAATCACAGACCGAGAATGACTGTTTAAATTGAACATGGTCAATTTGATACGTCATGACTCATGAGCATGGTCCCTTTAAATCAAAAAAGGACAAAATGTATGGGTGACGTGGATTTTATCTACCATCAAAAAGAGGGAATCCCTAATTTCTAAAAGAGCCAAATTAAACTGTCATGTTATTCACAGCAAGTACGTATCAGCCCGTATTGGTCGATATGTATTATTTCAGGAGCTCCTGATACGCCCCTACCGAGGATGTATCGAGGTTCTGACCGATTCAGGGGATGGAGGAGCCTTAAACCGGCCCCCTGAACCGGTTTTGAAAAAAAATATAAAAAAAACACTATCAGTATTGCCTAATATGCCTACCGGCATTGATTCACAGAACCGTTATGTGCAACATTACAGGATCTTTATTTTTCTGATTATCAGTGCATATATAAGAACATACCAAGGTTTTTAAAACCGGACCGGACAGGGAACCATTCTGGGTTTGGTTCCTGGGTCAAACGGTCCAACTGTTTGGACAAAAATTAAAAAAACAAAAAAGAGACCAAAACATCAATTGTCCTGGTTGATGGTTCGACCGCCCGAATCAGCGGTTCGGTGATCAAACCAACGGTTTTTGGCCAAAAAACGGTTTTGGAGTGAAACGGAACCGGTCAGGTGACTGATTCCCATTTTTTCCGGTCCGTCCATCCAGTCCAGTCCAGTTTTGAAAACACTGGAACACAACCTTTATTGGTTGTCTTCTCTGAAAGAGTTCAGACTTCAGAGGGACGAATAATCGTTGATGAACTTATTTATGGGGCTGAGGTCTCTCTACTAGCACTGTTTCAAGATCACAAGTGGTCATTTCTAATAGTGTAAAAGGCCACTAAGGGATATTCTTGCCTCCATTAAGACTGATCATCAATGTCAATGGAATGGCGGAAGGAGATCATTCTTGACTTCTTGTGCACTGATTATGACTGATCCCTACTGTGTTTAGGTGTGGGACAGAGAGATAATTCTTACTGCTATGAAGGATTTCTATGATAAGGACATGGATCTCTTCCAAGAAGACATACAGAAGAATTTCACTGCTGTAAGGACAGTTGAATGGCTTTCTTGCGTCTTGAAATGTTCTTTTTTTTCCTTTCCTCAGTTATCAGAGTGAGTTTCATACAAGGTGTGTTTGTTAATAAACAAAACAGGGTATCTGGTCAGATGATATAATGTCATGGGGAGACTGTGAGGATCTCTTCTCTTGTCCTAAGAAGTGAGTATGGTGATCTAATGATTCTAATCAACCATTAAACCCTAAGATCTTCCATTGTTCTTAAGAAACCATCTAAAATCACTCCCTTCTCTTATTGAGGTTCTCATATCTGCAGTCTTCCTCTACACATACATGCAGGTATGCTACAGAGAGCATAAACTTGGCTTGCAAATGGGGTTATGAAGGTGTCACACCAGGTGAAACTCTAGCAGGTAAGTGAGTCATCCTCACTAAAAAATTCTTTAAGATATGAAGTGCACTATGAATTGCTCAAAAAGATGATCAGGATGTCCATATGCAAGGATAATTAAAGATTAGGAGCATAAAAAGGTTTATATGACTTTGATATTGGGAATGGAACCCTCTAATGGATCATGTATGAAGCATTTGAGCAACAAAAATGGTGATCATGTTTACATGATAAATATAACTTCCACACCTTCAGAGATTTTACTAAAATTCCCTTTTTTTTTTAATTTTCTATTTAAGACTACAAAAAGCATTCTACACCATGTAGTTGACTCAAAATTGGTAATATTTATTCCGTATGGAAATGATGGTTCAAGATTTAAATTTGCTAGAAATTCTACCATGCAATAAAGAGAGATAGCAAAAGCTTTGGGAGAATTAAATATAAAAAAAAAAAGCTTTGGGAGAACTTGCTCAGAAATCTAAAAGACAAAGGGAATTTGGGAAATCAAAAAGATATAGAGAAATTAAAAAAGCTTGTCTGCTCAAAGACTGCAGTATTTTCTTTTGATTGGTTGTACATCAACACAACGTAAGCTTCAATATATTACTTATTAAGAAATCTCTTAAAAGGAGTACAGTAATTAATACACCTTATTATAGTTGTTATTTATAAGATTCTTGTAGTAAAAATTAATATATGTAGTTTGGCTAAGGGCTAATATGCTTTCTTTACTGAACTATTCCACAAATTTCTCACATCTTTTTCATACCTCATCCATAATCCATCTAAATTAATCTTATTTTGTTATTCCTTCCAATAAGTTACTGAATTTAAAGTAAACCACTATTCATAGCCCATACAGCTCAACAATAATATTAATAATACCCCATAAGTTGACTCTGTTCTATTGCTAGCATAATTACTGCATATCATTTTTATGTTAAAAACAATTTTTACAAATAAATAAAACTTCTGCTGAAAAAATCAGTAGACATAGTACATGCATAATTTTTTCAAAGCCTAATCACATGCATTAGGGTAAAATATGGAGAAAAATATATCAAATGTAAATATAGCAACTTTGTGATTTCCTTCACACTTCCAGGCCTTTTTTATCAAATACTCAGTCTACTTGTTTTGGATTTGAAACTTTTTTAGCCTTCATGACAAATAAATGTGTTACTTTTGTCTCTTAACAGATGACTACTTCAATTCAAGGCTGCCAATTGTCAACAAACGGATAGCGCAGGGTGGAGTTAGATTAGCCATGATTCTGAACAGAGTTTTTGGTTACCATGAACATGAAATCCCAGCTCCAACTTAAATCGGCATTATATCCAAATCATAAACTTGACTTGTTCCTTTGTATAGCCAATGAACTCAGATGATGAAGGCTAATTGTTCAAGTTCTTGCAGTATCTACTAACATTTGGTTTCATTTTATGATTTGTAGTCTAGATAGTCAAGAAAATACATAAAGCAATTTTAAGATTTTCTTCTATCTAGAAAACGTAGAGCATCTCTTACGTTTTTCTTGTACACCAAACAATAACATCAAGTGGGTTCAATAATTTCCCCTCATAAGCACTACAATACCTAGTACAAAATCAGTGGTAAAGCAAGCAAAGTTTCAAATTTCTAAAGCAATCGGTATTAAGCCCAATGGATGAGATGGCATAATTCCAACTATGCATATTATCCTTATAGCCTGCTGATAAACATGTAAATGATTATGGTTCCAGCATCTATCAAAGAAGAAATGAGAACTACTACTACATTACATAACAAAAAAAGACAAGTACAAAATTTTAGATAACTATAAGCAAATTTTCTTTTTCTTTTCTTTTCATTTCCTTCTTTTTCTAGGGGGTAGGCATGGCGGTTGACTAGCAATTAAGAAAATACTTTACAGCATTAAAATAATCAATCTCACCCAGATCGCCTCTGACCTCTCCCACCTCTAAAATAACCACCACCACCACCACGCCGGTATGGTTTTCTCCCATGACTGGATGTTGATCCTTGATTAAATTGCAAGGGTGTTGTAATGTTGCCTTGTGTAGCAGCAGGTCCATAACCCTGTTCGGCACATGAGTTACTGGATGGAATTCTTTGGTCACCAACACTCATGGATGATTGCAAACACTGACCTTGTAAACCTATTCCAAATGGTACCTGGCTGAACCCATTCTGGCTTACAACCCCTGGCCAAGATGTTGAAGTGGGCCCAGCTAAGGGGTTCGGCTGCCCAAAAGGAAATGATACATTAGGCAGTAGCATCTGACTAGGATCTATCTGCTGCTGAACTGGTATTCCATTTGGGAAACTTATTAGCGTCTGTTGTGGATGTTGATGGATTGGCATCCCATTCACTGGAAATCCGTTGAGCTGCTGCTGACAAGGTATTCCATTGGTCCAAAGTCCACTTGAAGGTATCGATAAATGCTGAGGTGTATAACAGGCTGTCTGCACCATCTGGGGCCCAGGAGGAACAATAACAGGCAAGCTACCATTGCCTGGCCCTGCGCCAGGTGAGCAAACACAACTTCCACAACTGAATGGTGCTGCAACATGTGGTGTATGGAGCTGGTTTGGAATTTGTGGCCGACTTTCTGATGCTGGTGGATGAATTGGAGGTCGGACATTCTTCCTGGCCTCACCCTTGTATTGAAATTTCTTCTTATCAGCAAACTCCCGATTTTTGCATTTCCGATCATCTGCACCTCGTTTTGCCATCCGTTGCATTCTTTTGTACTCAGCCTCCTTCTCATCATCAGAGAACTCAGCTTCACCAGAGACTTCTTCATCATTCTCACCAGATGCATCATATCCTTTCTTGTACAGATTCTTGTCATTGAGGACATGATTGGCAAATTCCTGGACAAAGGACACAGGGGTGCCTTGGCTGATTCCAGATGGAACCTCCTTGTCTGAGTTGTACCTTACAATGTAATAAGGGTTCTTGACAGGTCCAAAGATTTCATCTACAATCCCTAGTGGCAAGCGGGTTTCTGTAATCCAGAGAATAGAACCCTCATTAAGAGGGTTGTGCTTCTCAGTTCCTTCTACAACAACTTTGGTACCCAAAATCTGAAAAGTTAAAAAGAAACCACCAATCAATTGAGAGAACTAAACTGGCACACAACTATAGATGGATGATCTTGGTAAAACCTGATAAATAAGCATTAATATTAACTAATTATCAAACATGCAATTTTCAGATGGGAATGAACATCTGATTGAGTCATCCTTCTTTGCATTGAAGAAATAGAACAAGACGTTCTGAAATGAGCTGTTGAATGGATTATCCCTCTTGTGCAGTATGTTCTACATTATATACTTGTGTGATGGTGCCCAATTTTCTTAATGTCATGAAATCATCCATGGTTTTTAATCAAGAATATGCTTCCAGGTTTAATATGAACTTACTGATAAGATAACTCCAACAGATAGGATCTGATGATGTGGCTCCAAAGTGACATTCACTGGAGGAACTTCAGGGAGAAACTGCAAGATATTTGGTTAAAACCCCAATTACATTGATTGACTACCAACATGTGAAAAATCTCAATTCAAGATTTAAAATGATAAACTCTGCCAGAAACATGGTGGGTAAAACAAAAATAAAACAATATAACACATAATTATAAAGAAATAGACACTATAGCAAGAAAAGAGGACTTGCCGACTTAACATCAAAAAAGAAAAGAAATTAATAAAAAAGCCGACAAACATTCATCAATAAATAAATAAATAAGCCAACAAACATTATATTTACAAACACAACACACACGTGCAGTTGTATCAGTTACAACATGCATCTAAATATTAAATTAGATAGTGAGCTACCAACTACCAACCAAATGCTATGTCTATACTAAGTCAGATTGAGATGCATCATCAGTTGATCATCCAAGTAAAACTGAATAACCCTCGATTTTCTTTTTTTCAATAAGGAGGAAAAAAGGAAACTATTACTTATGAGTTGTGGTGCAGCACGGGGACTTTTTTTTTATGATTGTGCAGCACGGGGACTTCCCAGGTTGTGTTGACTAACCCTCAATTTAACACAACCTTATCCATATTATTTGGGATAGCTGCATGCATACTGTTCTTCCACTTCACTCCATCAATGGTCATAACCACATTTAAATGGTCAGTCCATAGATGTTTTCTTATTACTTCACCAACCAGCCGTTTTAGAACTCTAAACTTGCATATATGATTCCTTAAGGGTGAGTTAGGTATCAAACCACATAAGTGTACTAGTATAATTCATTTCAAGTGTAGAAACTCTCAGATCACTAAAACTAATCTGGCTTGAAATTGATTTGCTCAACTCTCTATCAGTGTTTATCATTCATGATTCATCTTTGTCTTAAAGGTTTGCCTAAATGTTCCTTTTCATGTATAAAGAGATACACATTTGAAGCATTCAATAACTTTACACTCACATCAGATATATAAAACATAATAAATTGAAAATAGTAGCAGAGACAAATTATCATACACAAAATAAATGTAAATAGTAGAACTTCATTTATATCTCCACTAGTTTCAATATCTATAGCTCATACTTCATGATGTAATTGTATTTTCCCCTAGCTCTGTTCTATACACAGATTTTTTTGATGGTGTTACTTATACTATTACCTTCATAATCTAAATGCAATGCATTGAACATTTCAGTTTTTCTGGTAGCAAGTCAATCAAGATTTTGATAGTGTGTGAGTGTCATTTTGTGCCAGAGTTACTTAAGCAAATCCAATAGCTAAAACAGTAGGAAATATGTTATTATATAATTTGATAGCTAGGCAGTTCACATATACGACACAAATAGCACGGACGAATCAACATTCCCAGCTTGTGTTCTTTCAAGAGCAGACAAATAGTCAACCAACCTGTAATGGCCCTAATAAGAAAAAAAAATGCAGAAAGTAGTCTTCTCATGATTAGTCTTACCATAAACTTGACAAAAATGACAGCATTGAAGAGTATATACAAAAGCAGTGTATAAACATAAGACCTTTTTTTCTGTATTTACAAACATTAAGGGACATTAAGGCCAACATATTTACCTCAAGCTCGTTTTTAGACTTTATGGGTCCAGTTATAACTCCCTCGCCATCATCATCGCTGCCATCGACAATATATTCTCCATCTAAATTCTTTATCTCACCTTCTTCAAACTCAACCATCTTTGTCTCTTCATCCTCTTCGTCCTCGTCCTCCTCTTCTTCGTCGTCATTCTCCTCCTCACTGCTGGAAGAACTAGAGGAAGATGAAGAAGAACTGTCACTCTCGGACTCTGAACTATCACCATCTTCTCCATCACTTACTAACTCAACATTCTCCTTGCCACTTTTACCAGAAATATCCTCTGTAGTTACCAACCCAGTTGCAAAAGAATTTTTGCTGTCCTTATCTGAACTCAGCTCTAATTTGTCCTCTTGAGTAACAGTCCCGAAAGCCTTGGCTGGTCCATCTAATTCCTTCTTATCCAAAGCATCCAAAGTTACGGATGCCTCAAGCAAGCATTCATTGCTTTCACGATTTACTGAAATCGGATCATGCTCACCAAGAAGACTACCATCTGGGGCTCCAATCAAACTAACTTTCTCCATTCGCTCTTCGATTAAAGAACCTATATCCTCTGCCTTCTCAGAAAGATCTCCTTGAGCCGTTCTTTCATCAACTCCATCTTCAAACTGATTTCGTGAATAGGTTTCTTCATGGATTTCTTCAACCGGTATTTGAACGGGCTCCCCGGAGTAAGCAAGTTCGACTTTTTTCAAGTCAGACCCGTCCAGGGATTGGTTTTCTTCAATTGGCATTTCGATTGAACCGGTTTCCATGATCCAATCCTGTATACAGTTGAAACCGCTAAAATCCTCGACTATCGGTAGGTAGAAGTCGTCCAGAAAGGGAATAAAAGGGTCGAGAGACCCTTCTGGTATTGTGAGCTTTTCAACTTCGTTGGGTTCTTTTACGGCGTGATTAAACTCCACCATCGCGAAAGATAGAAAAAGGATTTTGAAAATCAAGGTAGGATATAGCCTGCATGGAATTGAAGATAGAGAAATGGGAAGTCATAATTGGAAACACCCGCAGCACCATATAAACAGGCGAGAACGAGGAAGAGCTTGTTTCCGTTTTACTCGTTTTGTTTAAGAGGAGCTGCTGCTTAAACCCTAGCTAGGGTTTTTCCTTTCAAATTTTTCTAGGGCAAGTGTATGGTATGGTTGCTTTTGCTAATTTAGGTAGAATTCGGATTCAGTCCTCTAAGAACCCTCCTCACACCGTGCTCACAGACGCTTGCAGCTGTGCATCGCGAATATCTCCTCGTGAATGAAAAAAGTACGGAAATGTTCTCGATGCACGGCTAGCTGTGAACACGGTGTGGTGACGGTTTTGTGAGGACTGAATTATGACGCTAATGGAGTATCTCCTGTCAGCCGTTATTGAACAGGACTGTAAGTTTGTAAATAAGTCAGATTAGGTTCGATTTGAATCCGATACCGATCCGTTAAGAGACATCATAACAAATCGGATCTTATTAGAAAGCTGATCCATTAATTTAATGGATTGGATTTGGATATTAGCTGATCCGTTAATTATGAAATATTATATATTATATATGTATATTCTATATATTATTTATATTAGATAATATAAATATAATTCTAATCAAATCAAATGTCCGATAATACATTCGAATTCAAATTTTCAAATCAAGCTTTTGAAAATCTGATGGATCCTTATCGGTTTTGAATCAGTCAATTTTTCTTAATGGATCGGATCAGATATGTCCTTACCGAATCCGATCCGACCCATTTGTAGCCTTATTGAACAGCCCTCAATTTAAGTGTAGCTTGAGCCGAGTTAGTCCAAATCCAACTTAATACACTCCTAAATAATAATAATAATAATATGGGAAATTCCACATTAGTACCCTATATTTTGGGTTTAATGTCATTTTGATCCTTGAACTTTAAAATATGTCAATTTAATATCTGAGCTTCTAAAATGTGTCAGCTTAGCCTCTCTCGTTAGTAATTTGTTAGTTACCTGTATCACATGATCTCACATGCATATCAAATATTTCAAAATTTCAAAATTATTCTTGAAACACTATTCATTGTCCGCCACCGACTCCAATCACACTATTGATTTTGGATTGGTTTTAATGAAACGGAAATGAAAACTCTTTTGCAAGATACCATTCATCGTCCACCACCGACTCTGACCACACTATCAATCTAGTCTACAGGTTAGGCTTGGATTGGTTTCAATGTTTGCTCAAAAATGAGATCTCTCACATTGATGGATAGATTCATTCAATAATCTAAACCTAGAAAAAAATCTATTATCAGAATCTATTACAAGGTGTTTGTGTCTCATTCGGACTGTCTAAGCTAAAGTCATTAAGGTTGCATTTGAAAACGATGCAAATGGAGTGTAAATTGAAGTTCCGGGTAAATTTGTACTCTCGCTCACTTTTATCTGTATTTGGCAACATGCAACATTATATATATATTGATAAATAAGATGTAAAAATAGGATTTACATTTATAAGGACCATTTTACACTCTACTTATTTTCATTCAGACTTATTTGCATCCTTTCTAAAAGCAGCCTAAGGTGTATAGAAACATCTCAGGTGTATTCATCAATCGATACACCTGCTAATCCTAGCTTTCATTGCCGAGAATCAAGCCAACCTGCTAATCTAACAAGTGTTCATCAGTTCTTAACGTTGCAAATTCGCTTATTTGACATGAATGATGGAACGTGGGAAGGCATAGAGATCAATGCTTCCCATCGTCCACCCCTTAAATATTTTTCTTCGATCTTTTACTAGAGTTTTGATAGAGAATTAATAAAATAACAAATAGACTGCAAGAACATCCGATGTCCTGTGAGCTACACCATCAGTAATTGAAGGATTGGAAGAATTTCCAATCTTTTTTTAGTTAATAGGCAGTACGGTTATTGAGAATTAAGAACTCAGGTCCATTGTGCAAACAAGAACAAAGGCAAGTGTACATTGCATACCAGTAGTGATTAGATGATAAGCTTAAAACATATAACCAATCACCATGAAATGACTCACAAATTTTTGAAACAAGGTAAATTTTCTATTGGAATAAAGGGACACATCAATCCACGGGGTTTGATTGATCAATTACATGAAAAACACACTTGTATACATGTCTTGAAAAATAGTTTTTTTTTTTATTTTTCTTACTAAAACTAGTTTTTAACTTGTCCCACATTGGGAAATTACAAGACTTGTTTTGAGTTTTTAAATAGGAACTTATTTACACTCCTTAGAAATAAAAAAGAGAGTATGGAAGCTTGCTACCATGCAACACACATGCGTGTGTGCAGCACAATGAGGTGCATTTTGCTCATTGATATTTCGATGGTTACGATTCGATCAGGTGTGATCAAAATGCACTATTCAAAGTTAACATCACAATGTTTGAAAATGTGACTATTCAAAGAGCATTTTCTCAACCAACACCTTCCTTTGCTCCATAGCTCTTTCGAAATTATTTAAGGAACATGAATCAAGCAAATGCACACACAAGATTTTTGAACTCTCGCCTAAGGCTCTGTCGTATCCTGGGAACAAATTGACCCAACCTTTTCCTTACCCATTCCTTTTCACTAAGCAGCAAAGCAGTCAACTAAAACCTCTTCTTCTTATTGTTCATCGGGATTCTGTTGTCGTCACCATTGTGGTAGTGCAACAACGAACCAAACCCACTTCCAATCCAAACAATAGAAGTTTAAATAGTCTTAAAAAGCACCAAAGGTTTCAATCTCTAAGAAAAAAATAATAGTGTTGCAAGAAGAAAATTACCAGAGCACTACTATTCATGTGGCTAATGTCTATTGTAACACCAGGAGAATTAACAACATCATAGAAGTGGAGAACAAAACCAATGGATTCATCTTCATAAACATTGTGAGAGGCTGGCTGCCAATGACACCAACCACACCCAAGATAGCAACCTTGAATTGAGATGAACCACCCTTCAATCGGCAATTTTCCTGCTGCAAAATTGAGAGGCAAAGGAGGGCCTAAGAATGCTCTATGCCCCTACAAGGGTGTAAGTAGGGGTGGATTCGAGCCAAGCTGAGCCGAATAGTATAAGGCTTGAGCTCAGCTTGCCAAGGTAGTACAAGGCTCAAGCTCAAGTCAAAAACTCGTAAGCTTGAGCTCGACTTGAGAAAAATGTTTTATAAAAATAATATATATATATATATATATATATAATATTTTTATTTGATATTTAAAAAATTAAGAATTATAATAATTAGTTATTATTATATATAAATAAAAATATTATATATACAATATTTTTTATTATATATATATATTATTTTCTATAATTTTATTATTATTATTTTATATAGCTATTCGAGCTCAGCTCAAAGCTCAATTGAAACTGAGTCAAGCCGAGATTTTCATGAGCCAAGCTTGAGTAGCTCGTGAAGAACTCGACTTGTGGCCACCCCTAGGCATAAGGTAAAGGACATGGGGGAAATGGGTGGCCGAAGTCTAGGAGCCAATTTGAGGTGCAAGGGTTTGGCTGGCACATTCAACATGTCGCTGGAAGTTGTCGTGGCTTACAACGATGTGGCTCCTAAGCTTTATGGGTCCTTGATGAGGCTGAACTTGCCAGATCTAGAAAGCAGCTCGGACCTCTTGCTTTACGGGTCTCCTCTGACTTGATATTTTTTCTTTTTTTTTTTAATTTTTTGTATTGGTGGTTTATTATTATTATTATTATTATTATTATTATTATTATTATTATTGTTGTTGTTGTTGTTGTTGTTGTTGTTTAACTTTTAAACTATGACAAAAGCCAACTGACAGTTTTTGTATATTTGGTTTATAAAGAAAATTAGAAGATAGCCGAAGGGCATTTGCATCCGTTAATGGCAATTAACAATTTTGGACTAAATTGACACACTTTGAAAGTTCAGATACTAGTTTGACACATTTTTAAGTTCAGGGACCAAAGTGACACTAAACCCAAAGTACATGGTACTAATCTAGAATTTCAAGGATGAGTTGTTATCCAGCTAACACAAGGGTTTGAGGTTTAAGGGTATGGGGATGGGCTACCTCGTTCAAGACCGCATCTGCTAGTCCTTTGGACCAGCATCTTGCTAGTCCTACTAACGGCAGTCTTAGACTCCAAATAACTTTTCAATCTAATTTAACAATTAACATGTAGTTGAGTTCCAAAATCTATGACAAGGGATCGATTACCCTCCCCCCAACTTGTAACCCGTGAGCTCCGACAACCATTGAATGGTGACGATAACTTACATCGACTGTTAGGTCATCTTCACCGAAAACCAAAAAAGCTTCAACCATTACTTTTTCTGGCATAATCAGCTATATCTCCCTCTGATCTCTTTTTCTTCTTCTTCTTCTTCCACAGTAGACCCTCCCAAGCTTTCTCCGACATACTCAACTTTTCTTCTTTTTCTACCGGACACCGGAGTTGTATAAAAGCAAATAAGTTATTAAAATAAGAAACCAAGTAATAGAGTTATTAGCTTCAACCAACAGACCAATATAGAGTTACTCATGCTTAACCACTAATAGATAGTATGAAGTTCATAGGTGGTTGTTCGAGTTATTTTCGTCGTCCAAACTATTTCTATTCAAATGGTCGTCATCGTCTAGTTCCAGAGTTCACAGTTCATAGCTTAGGAGAAGGGTGAAAAGGGTTTTCAAAGCTTTATCAGTTTTGGGGAAGAAAGAGACCTCGTTGGTTATGGAACTCAACGACAAGTCTTAATAAAATTGAAATATTATTTGGTGCTAATCTGGACTCCTATCAATTTTCAATTAAAGGGGGTTGGGCTAGCGGATGTAGACTCACCCCATTCTCCATCCCCAAAAACACACAAGTATCCCATTGGTCATCCCACACACCTTGAGAGCATAATATTCAGCCATAAATAAGGAATATTTACAATTTAGCACGGAAGATATTCCCAACATAAGATTGGATTAGGGGTGTTCATTATATGATATAAACCGCCAAATTGCATCGAACCAAACTGCAATTGGTGGTTTGGTCCGGTTTAGCCTTAAAACGATTTGGTTTCGTTTGAGAATTCCTTTAATTATAAAGTGCATATATTCATTTAACATTTGATGCATTATTGTTGTTTATTTTTGAGAAAGTGTGGATGTATTAAAGCA